TTCTCTTCAAAATAATCCTGTGTTCAGAGGAGTTGTGGTAGAATGGAAGGTTCACTAAGACTTTTGATAGTAGCAGTTGCTCAGCTGAACTTCTAAACTCCAGGAAGCCTGTCTGTATACCCCAAATTCAAGGCTTTGCTAAAATTTCCATTCAAGAAACACTGATACTGAACATAATCTTTAGCATATGCAAAAATACTAAGCGATTATTATCAGTGGCCCTAAGATGACACTTTTTTTTTTTTTAAGAAATGCCCTTTGAAACTGTTACAGGTGATAACTGAGTATCTCAAATATGCTATTTTGTAGCAGCCAAACTAGGACTGCAACAGGCACAGTTTAGCTGAACGATCAGTTATCCTTATATAACTAAATTTCATTACATAATCTTAACTTTGCTATCAAGATGACATAAAAACATAAAATCAGCCATTCTAGTTAATGATTTGATTTTAATGTCAAGATAAACTATTGTCCATGCAAGTAACTGAAGGAAAAGGCAATGACGGGAATTCTTACCCATTTTCCTATTATATATATCTAGTCCAGGAACTCCAGAATATTTAACTTGGTAATATGATACTTTCTTCCAATTAATAATTTTAAACTTTTAGACCAAGAAGATAATGTTTATTTCTCATTTGTTTAATTACTAATTATGGGATTAAATTTTATTTATTCCTGTTTATGACATAATTAGAAAAAATACTAAAATTTTGTACTAAAATTTTGTTAAATGATCTGTTAATAATTCCATTTGAAAACCTGTATCCTCTTAGTGCTCAACTCCCTCAAATTGCCTTCTGCCATCAGTATTTATTGTCTGCTTACTGTAGAGACCTGCTTTGCTTGTGAAGTTCCCTGCATTGTGATGCAAAGATATTTCAGTATCTCAAAATATTTCATTTTCCATAGGTACTGTAGGTTAACAAAAGACAACAGTCTAAAACCTGTCTGTGAATGATTTCATGTTACACAAGTCTGCCTTGCAAGCAAAAATCTTGCCTCCTCTTTTAACATTCAGAGCATGAGATACAAAATCAAAGAATGCGCACAAGACTATACAGACAATGAATTGCTAAAATAACTGTAATGATGCACAGTTCTACAGTCACCCTTTTCTCTTTTCTGAAGGACCCTGCATATAAGGCAAATCTCCACCTGGCAAATTCTAATGACAGTTTTTCTTAATTGCACATATGTTACTAGGTGCACTGTGGTCAGCTCTATATAAAACTAGTATATTGCTTCCATTATAGCTGGCCATTTGCATTAAAGCACAGATAATTTCTTTGGTTATCTGTGTTTCTGGCTTGAGGCCAGTAGCCTTCCTGCCTTTTATTATTTGCAGCAAAATCTAAAATAGAGACTGAATAAAATAACTGACCAAGAATATAGCTTTAGATAATATTGTCTGTGTGCCCCATTCTCTCTTCCTTTTCTCTCTCTCCCCCTGGGGGAAAAGCAGTTATTGTCCTTATTCTAAAACCAGTTCGTATCCACAGCAATCATGTAAATCTTGGCATCAGTCTTACAGTGGAATAAAAAGTCAAATCAGCAGGAAACTTCCACGTAAGAGCAACAAGCAGCCCCGGGAGGGAAAAAGGAACCCAACAAAACCCCCAAAACAAACCTCCCAAACCCCTCTAAACACTAAAGAGTTCTACTCATTAGAAACACTAAGGTTTTCTTGTAATTTTTAAGATAATATACCTTCAAAAAATAACAATCACTGTTCAGCAGGCTTGCCAGCCTTTCAAAGCCTTTTATTTCAAAGCTTCTTTCTGAATAAACAAATCTATGAAGAAACTGAAGTTTCTGCTTTTCCTAGTGTTCTACATAGGGGCTACACAAGCTGTCTTCTCTCAAAATGAGCCAGACCTCAAATGATATATTTAAAGTAATCAAAAGCTGTTGGATGTAGCTGGTGGGATGGATTTTATATATTTTACATACAGACTAACTCTAAAGCCACAAAAATATTCTTAATTGGAAATTCAATGTATTAGATCAAAATCCCAAGGTATTCTTTATTATTTCAGTCCTACATATTCAATTTGATCAGGACTCAGGAGTATTTTAAATATTTAGAGATAGGCAAAGGAAAACTAAGTATGATACAAATAAGTATCATATAAAAATGTTAACGTAATAAAACTAAAAGTGTGGTTTGTAATATGATCTGAACACGTACATATTGGACTAGTGTACAGAATGTGTTTGTATCCAATTAGTACATTCCACAAGAGCTTACTTCAGGCTGAATTAGTCTTTTTAGGCATCAGGAACAACTGTCTTACTCATACTAAACTGACTTGCCCTTCCCCAAATGAGGTAAAGGTTACCTGAATTATAAACCAGATAAAAGGTGCTCAGAGATACAAAGATTTTGTTTGCTAGAGCAGAAATTCAGGGAATAAAAAGTTAGGATTAAAATGTCATTAGAAGAACTGGAGAATGGAGCTTGGAATAGGAAAGAAATGTTATTTAGTGAGTGGAGCTGGAAGCACTCTTACTCAAAGATACCTTCTTTTCAAATTGGAGTAATGCTGCTGTGGGGGATTTGAACCCTGACTGGTGTGGGAATGGCTGACTGACTGTATCACCTGTGATCTTTCCCTCATTTGTTTGAAGGTAGGATAGCAGTGCCTAGGTCTTTATGCAAACATGTTGAGACACGTAACTGCTTTTGGTTATACAGTTATAGTCTTGTGGATATGCAAATCCTCCCAAGCTTTTGCAGTGCCATTGTCAGGGTCCCACTGCTTGGTAGCAGAGAACAGATCATCCAAATCCATGTGTGAGTATCTTCCAATGTAGCCTGAGAGGACAAGTAAGCAAGTCAGATGAAGTACTGCTAGCGTATCATGTACAAAGTAACTTTCAGTAGTACTGGAACTAGTATGTTCAGTGGAATATATCAGAAAACATGCTTACAAAGTCAGGGTCCACAAATAGGGTAAATTCAGAACAGAAGCTGCTACCATGTATCAGAGGGTAGAACTTCTTGGTTATTCGAAATTGGCACTAATATTCACTTTTTCAGGGTCAAATTTTATGTGAGATTGCAAGATCAAATGGTGAAAGTACTCAAAGTTCTTGTTTCTTTCAAATTCTCACTACTTTCATATCTTTTATATGAGCTTATCCCTAAACCTTCATGCTCTTGTGTTCTCCTTGTTGCATCTTTTATCCAAGCTGTACTTGCGCAGAAGTTACAAACAGAAGTTTAACATCTGACGTACAGCACAATAAAGAATGATTTACAGCCCTTTTAAAATAATACAAAACTAAATATATAAATTCTGACATGACTGTGGTTTATATTTACTAACTTTTAAATTTTATTTTAAGGCAGATGACTCATCGTATTTTAGCATCTAAAGCAATGACAGAATATCGGCTGCCAAAGGCGTTTTGGTAGTGCTTGCCACCTAGTGGATTACTGCTTGTGTACACGAGAAGGTTCACCTGCTACAAAAATACTTTAAAATCTCATTGATGACTCTGCTTATATAATATCCTGCAGACTTGGAGTACCACTAGATGGAAATTTATTTTGTTGTAATGAAATGCTAGTGGAAATTTAAATAAAAATGCTCACATTTTCACAACTTAATCCATTTACTGATAGCTATGTAGCTATTGCTTGACTTGGTGATAGACAAAAGGTGGAATTTGAGACACTAGTCGGTAAACATGGCCATGGATTCAACTGTAAACTTAAGCCCCAAGCTAACATAGGTTGGTCAGTAGTCAGTGATGACCATATTTGGCAAACATGAGTGAGCTCACTGAAATTTATACCAGTTGTTTCTACTTATTCTATTAGAGTTAGCTGTGGTCCTGTCATTTTTTAGAGTTCTGGTAGGTGTACAGCAGTAACTGGATTTTCTCGACTTTTCCTCCTTTCTTCTGTTAGCGACATCACTTGGAATGGTTGTCATCCATTTTGTTGACCTGGACTTTCATCTCTTCCTGGATAGTAATTTTCCCTTCATTACTGCCCACTACTCTTACAGAGATAAAAAGTATTGCTCCTATCATAACACAATGAAAAAATCTGTACATAAGCTGCAAGTGTTCCATCAACTATTCACAAACACCTCTTAGCCACACAAATGCAGTCTTCCTGCCACAGTTTTGTGTCCCATCTTTCAAGTGTGGATGCAATTGAGATTTTACTGAATTTTGTAATAATAAATGTATTGAAAAAATATGGGCCATTTTACCAGAACTTTCTCCCCAAAATCCAGTCTATAGGAGACAATTAAGAGAAGTTATCAGCAACAGGGAATCTCAGGTTTGAATACAGCAAGTTCTCTACTGTACTTATGATTGTAATGGTTTATTTTACTCTTCCACAATAATGACAATGTTGGAAAGTTTTATCCAGCAGCTGTATGATATTCAGGAATAATCGGTTTATGCTTTACACTTTTAGAAGGGTAATTAATCTTACTAAGCTAAAGAACATACCTTAATTCTTACTTGTTACAGGTATGTTCATACAGATGGTTTTGCCATTTATAGCATTTTATGATATTACTTATCAATAACCTATTGATGAGTAACTTGATGTGCAGGTGTTAAATCTGGGTTAGAAGATTCCATGGGATCAAAACCTTTGCTCTGTGTTCAGTTTGGCTGTTATGTATCAGGGGGTATCTGGATTTTACAGTGCATTATGTCATATATCAGAATTTATTATTTTCCCTCATTTGCTATGGCAGTCTCATGACTAATGATAGTTTATGTTTTTTTTTTCCCCTCTAACAACTGCTCTGAAGAATGTCAGAAGGTGAAATATGTGTACTACAGAGTACAAAAATTTCATGAGGAAGATCATCAGGAATATTTGCTAGTAAGAAATGTTTAAGAAATTTTGTACAACTATCCTCCTGTTTTCAAAAAGTAACCATAAGAATAATTTGATCTTTTGCCAAATTTAGAAAGCCGTATTTTAGCACTATAATATAAATCACTACTCAGTGATATCATAAGCTTGAAAAATCATTTTTATTAACATACAAAAAGAATAAGGAAAACAGACACTGTAATTAAACATTTGCTTTTATCTACAAGTAACTAGTAACAAAACAATCAAATAATTCTTTGGGTTCTTGTGAACAGTTAGAAAGAGGAGGGATTTTTTTTTGAAATAGAAGAAAAAGAGTTCTGAAATAGAAAATTTTGGCAATAACTCTTAGTCTTTCAGTAAAATATCCATGTAAATAAGTAATCCATATTTACAATATTGTATTTTCAATATCATATGCAATCTTGGTTACATGAAGTAAGAAGCGTAATTACTCTACATTCAACTTTAAAACCTAGTTTGGACCATCATTTCTCAGTTTCATTAATGTTGGAGGACACACTTCTGCTGCTGTGCACAGAACTGCATGGCAGCATCTAATTTCATTTCTTTTTTTTTTTTTTTCAGGCATCTTAAAAAGATAGCACTTTTAATGTCAGGTTTTGTAACTTCATATGTTTTATGAGGAATCCAAACTTGGAATGTGAGCTCTACAATCATATCCCTGTAAATACACTAATGTAGAAGATTTCCAAACATGCAGAAAAATCCTGATAAAAAAAGCTAGAGTTATACCTTCCATTTATATCTTCCAAAATACACTTTTTTATTTCCTGTGTGGCTACTATTACCCATAATACATGTAAGGAAAGTTGCATGAAAGTTAATGGAAGGTCACTCTGAGAAGCAGCTTGGGAATATGTTTTTTTCCCCTCATGAAAATTGATCTCCAAAGTCCTATGTATTTTTATTTAGCACTTGCACTAACCTCATATGTTGCAAGGATACTTAAAGACCTTCTTAATCAGTTCAGAGCAGAAGCCAAAAATCTATAGCACATTGAGTCTGTTTTAAATTGTACACTCCAAAGCTGAGCAAGCTTTAGGAGCTCACAGCTACTGTGTCTCATAGGGACCTTCCAAAGACCAAAGCAGCTAGAAGCCCACAGTTCATACATAGGAGATACCACTGATGATGATAATTTCCCAGAACAGAATATTCCAGTTCCCACTGAGTTTCTACTATCACGTTTAACCTCACAGTTGAAAACCAAAAATATACTCTGGTAGAGTATTCTCAAAAGGTTGCCTAGTCTTGATTTTCAGTTAGTTTTGTATCATCAGAATAGAAGGATGAAGAAATGCCACCATTCTTTCTCAAGTATCATTACCCTTAAACAGTACATGGAATAAAACGCAAACCAGAAGACATACTGTTTGCTGTAGCTTAACTTTAACAGCATATAGAACCATTCACCTAAAAGCTGTTGATTTCAATACATCCAAGTCAGTGTCATAACAAAAGGAATCACAGATTTTGTGATTTTTTTTTCCCGATATACGAGACAGTTTCTTCCAGAACAGTTCTTACATAAGTGACTGCCTTCCAAACACTGGGTACTAGGCAAGGATTGAAAGAGCTCATTTTCACAAGTGGACGAGACACGGTAACAGGCCAGTACATACCAACTTAGAATGCTGTTGCCTGTGTGTGTAAAGAAAGCTAGCATAGTAAATTACTAGCACAGCTGAGTTCATTTATTCATTTAATCTGTTATACTTCAAAAGTATCAACAGAGCACCTTTCACGAAGACTAAACATACATCCACCAGCTGTAAGATGCTTACTGAATTAATCAAAAAGCAGGCTTGTTGAGCAAAACATAATGAGATCAGAAGACAACAGCGCAGTTTAGTGTTCTCCAGAAACTACTGCAAATCCCTCTTCCTACTTAGTGTTCAATATATAAACCTGTAATAGGATGCATAACATTATGCATAATGTAATCAGGTCTTGTCAGTTGAGCACTAACGTAATGTAAAATAAGTGCTCTTGTTTTTCTTTAAGAAAGCTGCTATCAGTACTATTTGGATTTTATGCTTGTCCTGGTTTCAACTGTAAGGTGTTTTTTTTTCCTTCCTAGTAGCTGGTACAGTGCTGTGTTTCAGCTTTAGTCCAAGAACAATGCCAATAACACACCTATGTTTTAGCTGTTGCTAAGTAATGCCTACCGAGATCAAGGACTTTTCAGTCTGACACTCTGCCAGTGAGGAGGGGCACAAGAAGCTGGGAAGCAGCAGAGACAGAACACTGACCCAAACTAGCCAAAGGGGTATTCCATACTACAGCACATCTTGCCCAGTATGTAAACTGGTAAGAGTTACCCGGAAGGACTGGATCACCACTCGGGCAGGACTGGGTATTGGTCAGCAGGTGATGAGCAGTTGTATTGTGCATCACTTACATTTATTGATTTTTTTTCCCTTTTCCCCTTTAGTTTTATATTCTCTCCCCTTGTTATTTCCCTTATCATTAGTAGTATTATTAGTGGTAGTAGGAGTAGTTTTGTATTATTTGTGCTCACATAGTAGTTCCTCCTGTCATATCTGAATTTTACACTAAGGCATTTAAAAGCATACATTTTCTTAAATGAAACAATTCACTAATGCTAGGTGGGTCCCAGCCATCCACAAACATATGTAAGTGAAAACACAGAACCCTGGGATGTAGTCCTCGAGTACCAAATGGTACTGCAGAAAAGTTTTCCAAGTAATTCACTATGCTAGCTTTCTATACTGCATTCACCAAATGATTAAATATTATTACAAATCAAATAACAGATGGTTTTTGTTAGAGAAGATTCAAAAGAACTCCTAACCAGAATTGTCCTAATACAATAATGAACTACAAAAATAACATATTTTCTAAAGTTGAATGTGTTTAAACATTTTAAGAAGCTGAAGTAGATAAAAAATTACGCAGTTAAAAAAAAATAGGAAATTATATGCTGTCTGAAACCGTCTAGATTGCAACATGAACAATGGTAAATTTGGACTTGCAGTAGGCTCTGCAGTTTTTACAAGAGATTATAATATAAAGGCTCCTCCTCTTGGGCACGTGCAATCAAAATAATCTATTATAATTATTCTTCTGTAGTAGTAAAAAATACAAACACTGTTTATATCTGTGAAAATAATGAATGAATGTAATACATTAATACTCCGATTACTAGGAAGAGCTGTAAAAATAAAGTGCCAGTAGAGGCTCAATTGCATTATTTAACAATTTAATTTCAAATTAAAAAGTCATAAGAGTTTATATAGTTTGCTTGTAGACTAAAGTATGTCTTCATGCCCATAACAGTGATGATTTTGACACCAGTCTGGAGATATAAAAATTGGCTTTTAGTTAACAGGTTCCATTTTAATCAAATCAGCAAAGCTCAGCAGTTTCCTATAAGAAGCATTTCTCACTTCAAGATCCTTTCTTCTGTGAGACTGCTAGCAGTCTTCTGTGCTTTCTTCTCTGCTCCTGATTTCTAGTCTAGTGCCATAAATCCAGAGAACTGTGCAATCAAATATAGGAAAATGCTGCCATCTGGGATAAAAGGAAGACTTGGTTTAAGTGATACATATTTTTCTAAGTGTGTATCCGTATCTTTTCAAATAAGACAAAACATTTTTACGGTGCCACTCTGCTACATGATTAATTACCTCAAATCTTAGAAATCGGTGAAGGGGGTTAATCAACTCAAGAAATCAGGGCTTTCAAAACATGAAAATTACCAGAAAAATTATGTGTGAGCAACTAGATTCTGCTGTCGGATATACTTCATGACTCTGATACATAACCTACAAAATCACTCAGAACAAAATTTAGTCTCAATCTTGTTAATACGGAGAACATTTTCCAGTTATGTGATTCTCCCATTATAGCATTCACACTCACTTTTTTAAAATGAGGACTGAGCATGAGCCTATATAATATGTTTGAGACTTACTGGAATTTAAATCATATACAGAAAACTTGACTATCTTTGAGCAAGCTGTACAGCAAATAAAACCCCAACCTATTTATATATCAATATAACTAAGTCATAAGGAACAATGTGGTGAGGGAGAGGCGGTCTGGCAGTATAATCATACTGTTATTCTATGTATTGTCTTTACATAGTTGATCGTTGTCCTGCTTCATCAAGTTTGAGGTTTTGTTTTCTGGCTGCTTCACTGTTGATCCTCAGATCAGATTTATCTGCATTGCCACCATCTGTCATCGTGGATTCTGCTTCTGTGCCTTCAGGAGTCCCTCCAGGAGTCAGCAGAGCTTTAGCATTCTCTTCTGGAGGGCGCTTCCAATAGGGCCTGCTTGCCATCCACAAAATAAAGATACCAAATATGACAAGCAAAACACCAAGACAATTGACCAAAGTTGCCTCTGGTGGGGATTCACTGTATGCAGGATTACTGCGCCTTTGGAAGATAAAAAAAAAATAAGGTCAGTTGTTTTACAGACAGTTCTGGTCTTGAAACATCAGAAACCTGCTAGGTAGGAAGTCTTTTTAAAACAAAACAAAGCAAAAGAAAACAATGGTGCAATATTCAATGGTTGTTATTGTGTGCAAATGGAATAAAGTTTGCAGTGAATAACCTTGATAAACAAATGGGAAAAAATACTTACAAGGAAAATATAAGCTTTTCTGTGATTCCCATGAGAGCTGTTGCAATCACTGTTGCAAAGATGGTAAGACCCGAATAAACATGTATTGGCATAACTGCTGTTCGGAGGGAAACTGGAGCAAAAGGGAGCAGAAAGACAGCGAAACCCAAGAAAAGCTAAACACAAAACAGATTCATAGTTAAACCTATATGGGAAACAAGGTGAACTTCTCAAGCAGAGTAAAAATCATCATAAAGATTCCATTTTGAGATGTTGTCAGGTACAAATTTGAAAAGAATTGGCATTTTTATTTCTGAATACCTTTCTGTTCAAAATCAAAGCAATAATTCTGGATTAGCACCTGGGAAGCAGACATGAAATATTTTATAAATAATCCCACCTAATATCAGTGTCCAGACTTATTGGTAATGCTAAAACTGCAAACAAACTAAGCACTAGAAACACAAATTTTCAATGTTACTAATTCAGTAATATATTAAAGGTGTGAAGAGCTAGATTTTTGCAGTCTCTTTAAGTCCTGTTCTCTGCTTCTACTACAAATTTACACGTAAATGAAGATCAGAATGCAGTCTCACCTTTTGACGTGAGTGGACTAAATAATTTTACCTTGTTAGAGTGTTAGTTAAAGTACATGTCTTCAGAAAGGCAGCAGTCTCTCAGTGTACCAGTCATGTCACATGGTTGAGTCAGGCTTACCCATTCATACTGAGGTTGCATCCCTTCTTTATTTTGTTGTGCCATTATTCACCACTGTTGCTAAATTAGAAATAGTGATAAATTTGCATTTCATCTTACTTTAACTTCCAGTCTCAGTGCTTGTTTTTAATTCCCATGCTAGATTAAAGAGCCTGGCATTTTCTCCCTGCAAAACTTTTTAATACACCATGATCAAGTCCTCTGTTAGTCCTGTTTAGATCTGCTAAACAGTTGAAGCTTTTTAAGTCTTTCAGTGGAAGGCAGTTTTTCCAGCTCTCAGTTTACTTTTTCAGTTTTTCTTTGAATTTTTTTTTTTTTTTTTTACATTTAAAAAGAATTTATTCCACAGGATTTCATATTCATCTCAGTAATGACATATATGAAGGTTAAGATAATCTCTTATTAGAATTTAATTTTTGTTTTCACAGCAAAATGAGAATTCATTCTGAGCTTCATGTCATCTTTGAGTACTTTCCAGTGACATTGCTTCCCAAGAGCCAATCTCCAGTCTATGTTTCTGCCTTGTTCTTAAATTTATGTCCTTGTGTTTTACTGTATTAACATATATTTGGCTTAAATACAGTAAATTTACACTATCATTCCCATAGGTATAGAATTATGTGAGCACCCCCCCCCCCCCCAATAACTTTTCAGTTTTGAGATTTACATGCCGTTTCTGGCGAATGACACAGGTCTTCTCTATTAACAGAGACTTTACAACTATATTTTCAAGAGTGCTCAATCAGTTAACAAACAGCAGTCTCTGACATCCCAGTTTGGAGGAAGTAACACCAGAGTTCTGTTAGTGAAACAGGCAAGACATTAAGTGCCATTGATCATGTTTACAGTAGCAAAATCAAAGTTAAGTTCTTATTTACAATTCTTTGTTTTACCCATTAGAAAAAATGATGATACCCAGGATAGTGGCAGCACAGATTTCCCTGAAATAACTGCATTACTAACTAGAACAAGGAAAACATTGTTCCTTCTTATTCATTCATATTCATTCTTATTCATTTGTTCAACTATAAAGAATACACATGACAATGCTGCAATATGCTTGCTTTCTTTCTAAGTGTTAAAATCACTATTTCAACACCATTTCCTGTACCTGCTAGCCAGAGCAGTGAAGGATAAAAGTCCAGAACCCAAATTCCTTAGCTGGGGATTTTCTATGCTTGATCACCAGATAATTAAGTCTTATTTCTTTTTGGTGTTTTGGCAAAAAAATGAAGTCACATTTGAAGGAACAAAATAAATTTCCATAGTGTATAGGCAATTCAGAACATATATGTAGAAACATTACATCTGTATGTGTACACTAAATGTCAGGGCATGTCTGCTCCTGTTCTGTGCCAAATGCAAACCATACTAGCTCATTTTAGATTATGATAACTCTAATTCTCTGCCAATAGGAGCAGTTAAAAGCATGTACATGAGCATTTAGAAAAGTTTTGCTGATTCAGGAAAACTGGTTAGCAGCTCATTCAGATGTCAGATCCTTTCAATCTGCACTGCTCATTGCTGCATTGTTCTGCTGATAAACAGAAGTCTTGAGGCCAAGAAGTGACTACTTAAAATCATGATAGCTGTAAAAAAGGAAAACCAGTTACTTCATTTGAGACTTCCTTAGTAAAATCCCTCACTGTATTTAAATATGCTGCCAACAAACCAAATAATTTGCTTTCACTTCAGCAGTGTATAGAGCTTAGAAACACACTATCGTATAACTGATTAGTGAATAAACTGCCATTATCTGAGCAATAAACAAAATATGCTTTAAAATACATTTTTTCTTTGTAGTCAAGGATTCTGTATTTGCACATTTGCTAATTTGCCACATCACAAAATGTAAAATGGGTATCCGAGTAGTCACAGTGTTTTAGTGAGGGCCTATTGTGCCTGAATTACTCAATACATTCTTCAAGTTTACAACCTGTTTATAAATACAGTTAGGTTCTGACCTGGACAGAATAAAATATAACAGCAGTCAGCCCGATCCAGCTGTGCAGACTGTACATGTTAGGAATGTTACCGGCATTGTGGTATTCAAACACGGCTACCATAGAAACAATTGCTAGAATCATAGCTATGGTATTTAATCCAGCATGTATGAACTTCATTAGGACTTTGCTGCACTTCCAGGTCCAGGGCAACCTGTACACAATAATAGCTGAAGAAAGAACAGAAACAAGATTTTTATGCCTCATAGGATAACTTCTATCAGATTTTAATAATCATGCATCATTCACATAGTTCCATTGTAAATTACAGCAAAATCCAACCTTTAATCCTCTAAAAAAGTCTATTAAAAGGCTTTTTCTCCTACACATAGTGTAGCATATTCCAAATTGTCCTGGTTTCAGCTGTAACAGTTACTTTTCTTCCTAGTAGCTGGTGCATTGCTATGTTTTGGCTTTAGTCTGATAACAATGATGCTAACACACTAATGTTTTAGTTGTTGCTAAGTAATGCCCACCCTGATCAAGGACTTTTCAGTCTCTCATGCTCTGCCAGTGAGGAGGGGCACATGAAGCCAGGAGGGAGCAGAGACAGGACACCTGACCCAAACTAGTCCAAGGCTATACCATACCACAGCACATCATGCCCAGTACGTAAACTGAGGGGAGTTACCTGGGAAGAACTGATTGCTGCTCAGGTCAGGCTGGTGGTGAGCAATTGTATTGTGCATCACCTCTGTTTTCTGAGCTTTCATTTCTTGTTGTTTCCTTTTATTATCATTATTGTTATTGTTGGTATCCTTTCTATTATCTCTGTATTTTACTTTATCTTAGTTATTAAACTGTTCATATGTCAACCTGTGGGTTTTACATTCCTTCAATTTTCCTCCCCATCCTGCCGGGGGAAGGGGCAGGGTGAGCGAGTGGCTGTGTGGGGCTGAGTTACTGGCTGAGCTTAAACTGCAACACAAATATGCAACTAAATCTTAAATATAGCTTTTAGGGAGATTTCTTCCCAATTTAAAAAAAAAAACAAGCTTAAGTGTGTTTCAAAAAAGGACAATAAACAACTCTATGTTGTCTTTTCCTCATTCCTTAAATTGATCTAACAGGGATTCTGCATAGGATTTTGATTTTTTAGCTACTAGTCAGATTGGAGGAATAGGGCCTAATTCTTACATCCAGAAGACTACCTACTGAGAAAGTATGTAAGATTATTTTTTTAATATTTATTCTCTTTACTAACTTTGGATAATGCTAATCTCTAATTGGGTAGATATTTATATAACTATTACGTTGATATATTTACTACATTGAGACATGGTGAGGCACTGGAAAAAGTTGCCCAAAGAAGTGGTGAATGCTCCATCCCTGGCAGTGTTCAAGGCCAGGCTGGACAAACCCATGGTTTAATGTGAGATGTCCCTGTCCATGGCAGGGGGGCTGGAACTAGATGATCTTAAGGTCCTCTCCAACCCTAACTATTCTATGATTCTATGATTCTGTGACATTAATAGGACTACTTCAAATGGGAAAACACTACTCAGTATTAGGGAGTCATAATCTAACTCTTAAGAGACAAAAGGATTTGGCAACTGCAACTCTTCTGCCACTGTTAGATGAGTGTAAGGAGGTTTTGCCTGTATTTGTGTTAGTGACGCCAGCAAACACTGTTTTGTCCACTCTGAACAAACCAACAATTTCTAGTGATCTAACTCCAAACAGTCCATAAGAATAACTTGGCCTAGAGCTGCTTCTTGCCAAACTCTTTCCTCCAGGTCCCCTGCAACAACTGCCCCCTGCCTGTTGTATGACCCAGGTGCTTTCCACAGGAGACACACAGAGACCAGATACATCATTGAAGCCCCAGGCAGTAATTCTGGATGCGTGACAGCACGTAAGTATATCCAGATAATGGGACAAATATTTATGAGGACACCTGATCATTTGACCAATAAAGGCTGATGCCTACATCCATAATGTTTTGCTTGAGCAAAAACGAAGTCTGATCTCCATTCATCAGATTCATCACGTCCTCATTTAAGATTTCTAGTTATGAAATTACATTCAAATTTTTATATGTAATTAGCTATACTAAAAGAATAAGAACATATGCAGAGTATTAAACAAGTTCCTGTTCCAAACATTAAGAAATAGATGTGCACCAGAAGAAAAAATGAAGTATGACCTGATAAATGCAAAGATTAAGAATTTACTTAAGTGATTCTCATGTACCTGACTCATTACTTCTCCATAACAGATAACCTCTGCAGAAAGCATAGGTTATGGAAAATAAATGGAATATTTGTGCTGTACTTTGTGCTGAGTAGTAAAAAATGATGAATTAATGTCAAAGTTCTGTTTACACTTTTTTTTTTTACTTGGCTCCATGCCAGGAGACACAGTACTGCACTAAATGAGTCACAAAGAAAATGCTGTTCACAAGTGACATTTCCAGACTACGATCAGATTTTAAATCAATGTATGCTTTGATATGCTGTGCGAAAATGTACTGGAATGAAAATGTTCCTTAGAATACTTGAATATATACAGCACTTAGGTAGGTTTTGGCTTTCTACTTTTTAAAAAGTAGCAGTAGTAAATCCTACAAAATCAAGAAGATAGAAGCCTTGTTTTTAAGACAGTTTGACAACATCAATCTATACGACACAGGTATAATTCAGCACAGCAAGCTTATGATCACCTCCAACAGTTGCCCAAAAGTTCTGTGGTAGTCTTATATCATGTTAATATTGAAATGATTGCTTGCATTAGGCTATTATTAATTAACTTAGTTATAATGATTATGATTTCTAATTTTGTAAAGCAGGTATGCCAAAAGGTCTCAAATATCCCATGAGGATATTCCCAAATAAATCCTCTTTGCTCCAATTTACCATATGGCCCATAGTATTGTCAATAATTTATTCCAAGTGCAGGAGGCTAGTGTACTCTAAATGGCTTGAGGTAAACTTGATGTGCATAGGTCCTGGTCTCAGTTTTCAATCTTTGATCTCAGAGGGTCTAGTCCAGGCTAGAATTTCTGGATAACATTTTTCATTGGTGCATAAGGTGCTGTCATCTAATTGATTAAACTTTCAAAATCACTATAATACTCCCTAGTCACTCAGTCTCAGATTTCTACCTGGGCCATGAACTGTCTGGGCTGTTTCCCATAAGCAGTACGATAGAAAAGTAAGGAATACAGTCTGATGGTTTGGACACTTGTTAACAATACCATGCATTAGCATGTTACATGCCACAACCCAGGACATATGCACAATAGTGCAATTTGGTTTAATCCTCTTTCCATGAGGACTATGTGTGATGTTACATATTGCAACTTGAGCAGATCTGACTTTATCACTGTGAAAAGACACAGCCCCATTTCCCCACCACTACTTCTGTTCCCTTACTTCTGTACTAACTGGTACTTTTCTGACCAGCAGGAGGTAGCAAGACAATCTGGGGATCTAAGCAGGGAGGAGGAGGAGGAAGATTCTGCTTTCAGTGGTGCAAACTCTTAAGAACCGACTCAATTTGTAATTTGATCTCAAAATTAAAATAGCCTGGGTTAAAAGCACATAGACAGTTAACAGCATTTTTAGTGGTGACAGTCTATGCATCATAGAATCACAGAATGGTTAGGGTTGGAAAGGACCTTAAGATCATCTAGTTCCAACCCCCCTGCCATGGGCAGGGACACCTCATGCTAAATCATATCACCCAAGGCCTCGTCCAACCTGGTCTTGAACACTGCCAGGGATGGAGCATTCACAACCTCCCTGGGCAACCCATTCCAGTGCCTCACCACCCTCACAGGAAAGAATTTCCTCCTTACATCCAATCTAAACTTCCCCTGTTTAAGTTTGAACCCATTACCCCTTGTCCTATCACTACAGTCCCCAATGAAGAGTCCCTCCCCAGCATCCCTATAGGCCCCCTTCAGATACTGGAAGGCTGCTATGAGGTCTCCACACAGCCTTCTCTTCTCCAGGCTGAACAGCCCCAACTTCCTCAGCCTGTCTTCATACGGGAGGTGCTCCAGCCCCCTGATCATCCTCGTGGCCCTCCTCTGGACTTGTTCCAACAGTTCCATGTCCTTTTCATGTTGAGGACACCAGAACTGCACACAATACTCCAGGTGAGGTCTCATGAGAGCAGAGTAAAGGGGCAGGATCACCTCCTTCAACCTGCTGGTCACACTCCTTTTGATGCAGCCCAGGATCTGGCTGGCTTTTTTTGCTGCAAGCGCAAAAACTGCCTGCTCATGTTCGTTTTCTCATCAACCAACACCCCCAAGTCCTTCTCTGCAGGGCTGCTCTGAATCTCTTCTCTACCCAGCCTGTAGCTGTGCCTGGGATTGCTCTGACCCAGGTGTAGGACCTTGCACTTGGCCTGGTTAAACTTCATGAGGTTGGCATCAGCCCACCTCACAAGCGTGTTGAGGTCCCTCTGGATGGCATTCCTTCCCTCCAGCGTATCAACCGAACCACACAGCTTGGTGTCATCAGCAAACTTGCTGAGGGCACACTCAATCCCACTGTCCATGTCAGCGACAAAGATGTTGAACAAGACCGGTCCCAACACCGATCCCTGAGGGACACCACTCGTTACTGGTCTCCAGCTGGACATTGAGCCATTGACTGCAACTCTTTGTGTGCGGCCATCCAGCCAGTTCTTTATCCACCGAGTGGTCCATCCATCAAATTGATATCTCTCCAGTTTAGAGACAAGGATGTCATGTGGGACAGTGTCGAACGCTTTGCACAAGTCCAGGTAGATGACATCAACTGCTCTACCCCTGTCCATCAGTCCTGTAGCCCCATCATAGAAGGCCACCAAATTGGTCAGGCAGGATTTCCCCTTAGTGAAGCCATGGTGGCTGTCACCAAGCACCTTGTTGATTTTCATGTGCCTTAGCATGCCTTCCAGGAGAATCTGCTCCAAGATTTTGCCAGGCACAGAGGTGAGACTGACTGGTCTGTAATTCCCCGGGTCATCCATTTTCCCCTTCTTGAAAATGGGGGTTATATTTCCCTTTTTCCAGTCATTGGGAACTTCACCTGACTGCCATGATTTCTCAAATATGATGGCCAGCAGCTTAGCAACTTCATTCACCAGCTCCTTTAGGACCTGCGGATGGATCTCATCAGGACCCACGGACTTGCGCACGTTCAGATTTTTAAGATGGTCTTGAACCAGATCCTCT